TAAATAAATAAAAAGTATATTAAATTTAAAATAGATACATATTATTTTATCATTATCTTACATTAAAGGGTGATGAAAAGTTTTCTTCTCATCTGTAAGGAAGGTAAAAAATAAGATGAGGAAGAATCGTTTGAAGTTTGTGGCATTGAGATCCGATTGAGAAGTTTGTGGCGTTGAGATCCGATTGAGAATTATTCAAGTCATGGTGGTAATTATAATGATCTGCATAGGGCCAGCAACAATTGGTCCAGTTTGTGGGGTTATAAATTAAAATTCTCTTGCACATACAAACCAGTTTATCAGTGAATGGGCTCAAATTTAATCCTAATGGATGGATGTGGACAGGTGGTAGGTGTAGGTCAAAAGTAGCATGCATCACAAAGGAGAAGCCACTTATTAGTGGCTTTTGGGTAATCTGCTTTTCAACTAGTATCATATGTGCTTTGAAGTGTGAAGTTTGAGCACTTGATTTTATATATGCATTATCCGCATGGAAAGGGTGGTGAAGACCTGTTGATTCATGTTTTAAAACTCTTATTTTTTTAATAAGCAGACTCTAGTGTGGTAATCATAACATTCGGAGCATTGACCAGATTAAACCCTAGAATAGGGTGCAAAATGCTTCTTTTACACGTGTTTGGTAAATTTTGGATTGATACACAGATGTGGCTCGAAGATATTGCTTGTACTTAAGGCTGCGTTTATTTTGATTTTTTAAAAAATATTTTATTTTTTAGGTTATATATTTATATATTTTTCGATATTTGGTAAAGACCTATATCGAAGTTCAGATCAAATCTATCGAACAGAGCATGTAAAATAACTTGTCGAAAATAAATAGATAAATTATTTTTATTAAATTTGAATATTTTTTTTCTTTGTAAATATTTTATGACAATCAAACGCAAAAAATAAAAAATAAAAATTTTTAAAAATATTTTACATCCAAATAAATGGAGCCTAAAAGAAGGGACTCTTACTTATGCTTCATGACCTCACTTTACACTTAAAAATACATGTTAAATTTGGTATTTATTGGAGCTAATATGAATGAGTAGAAATACACACATAAATCACACGTATACATCCATGCCATATTCTACTTCTATTTGCCGGTGGCCAAACAGTCATGTTTCAGCACAACTATAATGTATTATGTAACTGCGAGGAAAGGCTTAAACTAGGATTAAAAATCTAATATGAAAGTAAAGTATTAAATTAATTTTTTTTTTTAAATAATAAAATTCAAAATACTATAACCTTTAACTAAGGAATTAAAAAATTATGAGTGGATATTCTCATACGAACTCGTGTACTCGCACATTGAATAAAAATCATGATTTTATATCTGTTCCTTTATTATAAAAATGTCTTTGTCATAGTTAGGCAATGAATTACAATAGATGAATTGTGGATATCTAAACCATTCTTTTTCCAATTTTTAAGTTTTTTTTTTTTTTTTTTTTTTTGGGTACATTCATGTTTTCATTGATGTTGAGACAATGTCGGCAGAAACATGCCACATCAATATGTTTGGGTTTTATTTATCCAAAATGTGGTAGGTTGTCTAATGAAAATAAAGTAATGTGGCCTGTTTTGAGGAGGTATTCTCTTCTACGAAATGGGCCACTTCAAATAGATTCATTACTCCGGCCAAAATACAATTAATCTGGCATAGGCTACATGAGCCCCTAGCAATTTACCGAATAAACTGATAAGTCCGGCATTTTTGACCCACCAAACTAAAGCATATGGCTGCAATAGACGTATAGGTACACAATAATTCATATTTATACATCTTAGGTATGCGTCTATATGTATGTATATATATATACACATATATTAAGAATCATATAAAAATGAATTCATGAAGTGCACGATTCAGGTGCTTCACAATCAATGTTTGTTAGGTAATTACAGGTACCCAGACCTTCATTTCAAAACATTTTTTTATTAATCTTTTTCTCTGAAATAATATTTTTATTTTTATTTTTCTAAAAAACCATTAAAGTGTCCGACGCACCCTTTTCTTTTTCTTTTTCTTTTTTTTTTTTTTTTTAATGTCAACAAAGAATGGGTAAATAGGATACTTTTATAATTATTAAAAGGACTAATAATGAAAAATTGGTCTAAACCCTTGGATTAGTCTATTTATTGTACCCATTATGGATGTTCTGACCAGGAAAAAGAAAATGTATATGTCATCAAACTTTTATATAAATATTTGGATACCTAGAAAATGAAGCTTTACTGGTTTAAAAAACCTAGGCCAATAAGCATCTAGGAATATCCAAGATTGAATTTTAGACTTGGCATACTCAATAACATGATGAAAGGTTGTGTTTGCCATATGGCATCTTGACTTTTGCTAACCCTAACCCTAAATCTTAATTTATTGTGACATCGCCTTAGTTGTTACAAGAAAAGAGAAAGTAATTGCAAAAATAATTCAGAGCAAAATAGAGAAAACTTAAATAATTTAGAACATAATGGAGAAAATTTAAATAATTCAGAACAAAATGGCTGTATATATATATATATATATATCTTTCCGGTTTGTTGAAATATTTCAAAGAAGAAAATAAATGAATTGAGTTTTTTTTTTTCTTCATAAATTAGTAGATCGGGAAATGTTTGTATTAAAAAAAAAACAAGACCATAGTTTCAATGAAATGGAAGAAGAAATATCTTAATTGGAGGTCAAATATTGAAACCTAGCGGAAACCCGAAATTTAAGTATGGTCTTCTTCCAAAGGGTCCCACAATTTGGAAATTTTGAATTATGGACTACCTACAGAATAGAGAAGATTCTCTATTTCCATGCTTTTACTAGAGTATTTTTTTATAAGAAAAATGATACTTTGATGATTTGCAATTTTCTTTTTCTTTTTTTTTCCCAGAAAATGATAGACATCACAAATCACCATCAATTTTTGGTGATACCATGATATCATACCGTGAATGAGGTACAAATAATTGTACAGAGAAGGCACAAGTGATGTACTTGTACAACTGGTCTTGAGCCATGAAGATTGCCTAACATTGACGTTAGCTTGTGGGCCTTGTGCCTCCTCCTCCTCCTCCTCCCTAAAGTCAGCTCGTCCTCTTATTCAAAATTTTGGCCCAGCCCACCCAAATTCCATGTCCTCTTGTCGATGGACCCCTTCCCATGTCAACCACTCTCTCTCTCTATCTCTCTCTCTCTCTCTCTCTCTCTCACATACACACACACACACATTCTCTCTCTATATTGCTGCCTTTGTTTTCAACCTTCCTGCACGTTATGGGTGTCAAATTGAAGTTGCTAGTTTTGACTACTATATCAACCCACGGAGATGATAATATATAAGTTAGTAGCATCCCACTCCATTCATGTTGCCCACTATTGTCACCCTTCCACCAAACGCCCTCTCTCTCAACATACAGAGGTGGGTGTTGAGAGTATTCTCTTCTTTATTGAGAAGTACTTTGTTTTTTTTGTCAGATTGTTTAGTCCTTACAAAATTCAAATATGGTAGTTGATTCAAATGTGGAACAATAATTATAGCAAACCATGTTTTTTTTGTGTTTTTTTTTTTTTTAAACTCAAGGATTACTAAAATTCAGTAGTACGCGGTATATAATTGATTCGGTCCGAACTTGATTCCTTCAAGTATATATATGTATTGGTCCGTCTACATTTTATAACACCGGAATCTAAAATGGGACGGCATTTTTATTATTCAATTTAGTTGATAAATTATTCAATTTGATGATTCTAATTGTAATTGTGATTTTACTATTTATGACTTAAGTTACATAATCTTTCTCGACAGGTGTTGTTCTCACCTTTTGAATGTACTCTCATTCCAATTCTTACTCTGTATGACTTAAATTTTACTGTTTTCACTTTCCCGTTTACAAATTTATTCTCGCTCCCATTCTGCTTTATGTGATTTAGTTCATGATTAATTTCAATTGAGAAATTTAAAGAATTATATGGGTGAAAATTCTATGCTATTTGAAAATTTATACTATATCATGAAAATATTAGGAATTGTTTGATTTAACTTATAAGTAGATTTTCAAATAGGCTTCGTGGGTATTTAAGTCAATTTTCATTTTAGTTCCTTTTCAGCTGACGTCGGTTTGCTAAGTTACTCCCTTGGATAATTGAGGGGGTCTTTTGGCAAGAAAATTAAAAAGAAGGGTTTAATGCAAAATCCAGATAGAAAATGGAAATTTAATGTAGTTCATCCAAATTTATACTATCATGAAAATATTAGGACTTGTTTGGTGTGTCACTCATAAAATAGTTTCACGAATTCAAAAATCAAAAAGCAGTTTTTACACTTTTTTTTTAATGAAATTTTCATAAAAGCGTTGTCAAAAATTGTTAACCAACTAGATTTTTATATAAGATATAAGATTTAAGGCCTAAGTTACATAATTCTTTTCAATAAGTGTCGTTCTCACGTCCCGAGCGCGCTCCCGCTCTCATGCTCCGCGCACGTTCTTGCTTAAATTCTCACTACTTATTACTTAATTATGCCGTTCTTACGCTTCTACTTTCGAATTCGTTCTCGTTTCCACCCTCATTTCATGTGACTTAGTTTAGGGCTTAGATTTTAAAGTTTTTAGGATTTAGAGTTTAATTTGAACAACTAGTTTGGTGAATTTGTATCCGTTTAACTTGCGGAAAAAAGAAAAGTAGTACGTGTTCATTTGACCACAAGCTACAAAGTGGGCACACAATTAAGTTATGCATTAAGAAAGTACTAAAATCCATTGGGCATTGAATAGGCAGAGCACTTGTAGTCCGTGTATGGCTAATAAATGTGGAAAGTGGAAAGTCATATGATTAGCTTGTTTGGTGGCAAACCCTCTCATATAGCCAAAGTCTTTAAACATTCGTTTTCTGATTTCCAATTTGCCCTTAACTATTGACAAGTCAAAGTAGAAAAAGACAATTCCTCTCAACACAAAGAAAAAACACCACAATCATGCATAGCTTTAAATTCTCTCCAAACCCTTTTTTAAAAGTCAAAGCCATGACCCTCTTTTAAGACATTCCCCTCTCACACCACATTACGAATCCACCCCACCCCACTCTTTATTTTCTAGCTCCCTCTCCTCTCAACATTTTCATACCTTCCTCCTCACCCTCTCTCTCTCTCTCTCTCTCTCTCTCTCTGTATATACACACACACACATATATATATATTGAAAAATGCTTGGAAAAAGGATTGGTTCTGTTAAGAAACTGGCCAAGAAAGTGAAGGTGAAGAGCAGAGTAGAAGGCGAAGGCGAAGGCGAGTCGTCGCATTATGAATCTTTGTTGAGGGAGAGGGAAGAAGGGTCGTCGCCTTCTGGGACGACTCCAACCGGTTTTCTGGCAATCTATGTGGGAGAGGAGCGACAGCGGTTCGTGGTGCCGACCGGATACCTCTCTCATCCTCTGTTCAAGATGTTGCTGGAGAAGGCTTACAATGAGTTTGGTTTCGAGCAAAGGAATGGACTGGTGGTTCCATGTAATGTCTCTACTTTCCAAGAGGTGGTCAGTGCTGTGGAGTGCAGTCAGGGGAAGTTTGATTTTGGGAATTTGGTTGAGGAGTTTATTTAGATATATATATATATATATATAGTGAGAAATATATATAGGAAGTAATTGCACTTTGATGAATGTTGGAAGTGCATAGGCTAGCTTATAATGTTCATTAATGAGGTCTGCGATTCCTTGGGATTGTACTAGAACAACATGTAATGTACATAATTCATGTCCACCAAATTGGTTGGGCCAGTTTTGATCAAATTGAAGACAAGTCTTTCAATTTTCTAGTTCAGATTTCAATACTATTAGTCTAAATTACAAATTTGTGGTATTCAAACATACCTCTTTTTTTGGATTCTTTCTTCTTTTCTCATTAATCCTAAATTACTTGCATACTTTCCCAGACACTGAGTTTACTCAACAATCATGCCATGTTTTCTTCTTATTCTTTTGTGTTTTTTTTTTTTCTTTTTTTTTGGGTGGGGGGAGGGGGCATTTATTTTTTACTTTTTTATTTATCCTTTTGTTTGGAGTGGTGGGTGGGTGGTTGGGTAGGTATTGTTGCTGAGTCTTAATATTAGGTGGTGGTTTGTTGCTGAGTCTCTGTATGTTTCTGTTGCAATTGCTCAACATTTGTGTCTGAAGCTGATTTGTCAAATGATCTCAAGCAAAAAAATAATAATAATAATTAGAAATTTGATTTTGCTCAGTCGATTTTTTAATTAATTAGATCGACTCATAAAGCTTCACTCAGTCGATTTTTTAATATTTGTAAATATATGGTTGTTGGATGTGCAGTTTGATGGGGAGCGGCCTGGTACTTTTCATCCATCCAGTAACAAAATCATTGAAGTTATCTCCAGACTCCAATACTTAATTGGGTGATATAGAGGGGAGTACAATATTGAAGTATAAAGTACATAAAATATAATATAGAACAAGTATCCCTCACCAACCCTAGCCGGCTGCATCATTTTATTATTATTATTATTACTTTCTGTTTGTAATTTTGTGTATTTATACGAATTGCCCTCTCTAAAATGTTTTCTTCCTAAAAAGTTCTCTAGTTCTTCTTTGTTTTTTTTTTTTTCACTCTTTTACTCTTCTTCTTCAAATATCTTTAATTTCCTTTAAAAAAAAAAAATGCATTCCCCTTCTTTAATATTTTCTCCATGAATGTTCTCTCCTTTTTCTTTTCTTTTTTTCTTCTTTTAATTTATTATTGCGATTTTATGAACTTGATGTCTATATTGTATATTTTTTAGTGCAATTTTTTTGTGAATAATGACATGCTATTGAATATTGTTTACTGCACTACTAGTTGAAAAAAAAAAATTATTGTACCATTTTCAATATGCAGCCACTGCAATAAATTTCTGGCTTGTGTGAGAAGCACAACATTGGTTCAATTTTATAAAATAAAAAATAAAAAATCTGAGTACAAAAAAAAAAAATTAAAAAAATCTATTTTCAGAAAATTATAAAAGTCTATTATTTAAAAACAAATATTTTTTTAAGTGATATTCGAAAAAATTGTTGAAACAGACTTCTAAATAACTCAATTTGAGATGATTCTTGTAAAGTTACCCAAAACTACAATTAAAATACTATTTCTTGCCGTATTTTCTATTATTTTATTCATTGTGTCTCCTTTTCTGTTTCCTCCTCTGCCAACAAAGTTTGAAATCTAGTAAATTGAAGGTGTTCAAGTCAATTTTTGGTTAAAATAAAAAATGGGTCCTCTTAATTGTTTTGTGCGGATATTCTTCCCGCGAAAAGATGAGTGTGGATATTTCTTTGTTCAAAATGATTTCCCGGCGAACGATAAATTGTGTCTCAAAATATGGTGTTTGATAAAAAGTTAAAGAAGATAATGGTTTTTGTGGGAAATGAGAGTCACACGTACAAATATGATGGAAAACATATGGACTTTATATACTTCTTGTTTGACACTTCGAGAATGGAACCTTCGGGCACCCAATATTCTAAGACCAAAGCAAGTTTGGGTCCAAACCCAAACTATATATTTTTACGTAAACAAAATTATAAATTTGGGCCTAGGTGAATTGGGCTTGAGTGCGTATGACTTTATTTTGATATGGGTTAGTCCAAATTATCTAATTAAATCATTTGGTAGCAGTTAGGGGTGGTTATTCCGTTAAACCTTCAACCATTGAAACAGCACACCTAAGATTATTTATAAATGCTGCTTGTCATTTCATTCAATTTTTTCTACATGTTTTCTCTCCCCTCTCTCTCAACATGAACCTAGGCAAGTTGGGTCCAAACCACCACATGCGTGTGTCGTCCGACTTGGCCAGTCTGGTCTTAGGCTTGGGCTACCAAAAGTTTTTTTTCTTTTACTTAACAAAATTATCGATTTGGGTATAGGCAAATTAGGGTCGAGTATGTATGGGTTTGTTTGAACTTGGATTTGTCCAGAATATCTAATTAAATCATTTGGTGGCAATTAGGGGCGGTTATTCGGCTAAACCTTAATAGGTGCAATCTGGGTTGAAACATAGAAACATACTCAACAGTACACCAAATGGCTATTCAATTCGAATGGTTGTCTGGTGCTGGTTTGGGTTGAAATTAAAAAGGCACCAATTTCCCTATATATACTCACGCAAGGCTACTATCATTTCATTCAATTTTTCCTACACATTATTCTCTCCTCTCAACATAAACCTAACTCATTTGGGTTTTAGTCATGGTCAAGTGGTTTGAGCCACTTAGACCCCAAATCTTTAATCTAATCTAATATCATTATTTGAGTAGTATGGGAGCATTTTGAGTCAAATAATTGAGAGTATTATGCTTTGTGGGTTCGTTGGATCCACTGGTTTGTAGTAAGGCTACCGTGGATGACTAGACCATTGTATTCTGGAAGAAAACTACTACGAAAACCGTTTAGCATTGTGTAGGACGTAATATGTCTTAATTATATAATATCAACTACTAGCCCCGATTTAGGTTTTTTATTTTTTCTTTTATTATTATTATTTAATTATTTTAATAGCCCGCTAATAGAGTTACAAAGTGGAAGTTGTGTGTTTGTTTTCCTTTATAGTCTAATTATTTTATTACTATTTTAAAATTATTATTTTTTGTTTGTGTATTTATTTGGGAGTAGGTAATAGCAGGGGTGGACAAATAATCCGTGAATTCGCGAATCTGATCCATGCGGATTGAATTGGATTGCTGCACTGACGAATTGGTGGCATATTAAAAAAAAAAAAATTTAATCCGTAACTCACGGATCGGATCACAGATTAGATTGTTAAAATCCGATTTGATCCTTGAGATTTATATATATATATATATATATATATATATATATATATATATATATATATATTCAAACAATGTATTAGTTAATTTAATTAGTTAATGATCTTTTAATGGACTCTAAGAATGTATTAGCCAATATCATTTAAATATATGAATTAATGTTGATAAATTAAAATTTTATCTATTGGACTATTGTTAAAAAATAAACAATCTGATATGATCTATTATTCCACAAATCAGTGGCAGATTCAAATTTTTGCAATCTGTTGGGAATGGATTGGATTAGAATTGATGTCTAATCTGATCTTTGGCCACCCCTGTGCTTTGTTCAGTAAGAAAGAAAAAAATTTAATGGAAGAAAGATAAAAATGGATGGATAAAATATCCCTAAGGAAGAGATTGTGTAACGACCCGAACGCAGGGTTTCGTATCGTTAACGAGTCCTTACCCGAACCCGAGGTAAACTATGGCAAAAATGGTGATTATACATATTACTATAAGTTATGAGTCATAATGAAGTCATACTAGTCATTCATAACCATATTGGATCATTAAAGAATGATAACTCCGATTTTGGATTCATGTCGTAATCTTAAGCTCGCGAATGGTAAAATAGTCATTTAAAGTTAAAATTATAAAATGTAGTTGATGTCAATGGAAAAGTGGCTTGGAATGCATCAATCTACACTCAATAATGACTTAATTTGGGTTAGAAATAATTAAGTTATGATTGTTTGAAATTTGGTCAATACAGGCCGATTTTGACAATCTCAAATTTTCTAAGTCTGGGAAAATCAAAATGATCGGACTGAGAGCAAATTCTGGCATTATTTGAAATTTTTCTAAGTATGGACAAATCCGATCGATTAGATTGAAATCCAATTAATTAGATTGAACAAAAAAAATGGACACGATGGTCAATATATGTATAGATATAGAGAGAGAAAATGAGGGAAGAAGATGATGAATAATGGGGTTGTTTGCTAAACATCCCCTGTTTATAGAACTTCCATAACTTTCACAAATTACATCATTTAACCCAAAATTTCCATAACTAATTACTCCCTTCCTCCAAACAACTTTCATGAAATTGCCCTAAGGTAATAATTCACTGAAAATATAATAATAACGGCCTCTAATGGCTTTTCACTTAGCTCCTCACCATTCCCGTGCACTTAGGCTACCCTGGACCCACATGAGATCCCCTTGGTCCAAGACTCAAAAATGTCCAAAATGGACTCAAACACACTTCCAAGATATCTAAACTCAAAGAAATGTATCGAATGACTAACGGAACTCACGTGGCACACAAAACGAAGCATGGTGAGCAAAATGATGATCCGAGAAGGGGAAAAAACCAAAGATTTGAAAAATACCAAAACGAATTCGAAAAAATCTAGGACGTCACAGACTGTGTATTTTTTATTTTTTACTTGGTTGGATAGAAAAGGAGATAATAAACTTGTAATTTACTATGTTCATTAAGAGATAAAGAAATAGAAAGTTATAATTGTATTACCATTATATCCAATAATATTTATAATATTGTAATTTATAGAGGATATCACTATAATTTAAAACTTGTATTATTTATGATAATATTTAATTTAAAACTTTTATAATAGTCCTTCTAATGTTTATCAATATATATATATATAATTATTAAACATTATTTTTCTACTGTGGGACCCACCGTGATATAAGGGTCATTACAGACCCATTTTATTTTCACTCAACTCTCTCTCGGCCAGTTTGTTTCTCTCTCTCTCGCTACCTTTGCATTTTCCTTTTCTTTTTTTCTTTTGCAACTTCAATCATTGATTTCTTACTCATCTCTTAAAAATTTTGGATGCCGTTTACGGCAAATTGAAGCCCACGACGAGGTTTTTAAATCCATACCAGCAATTTCAACTTTTGGCCATTCTAAGAAGTCCGAAAATTGAGACCCATTTTGAGGGTTTGAGGTGAAAATTGGGGCTTTTGACTTAGATTGAGGTAGGAGTCTTT